TTGCACACTGAAAAACACCCACCAATCTTCTCTAACTCTGTACCAGTGCTGTACACCATGTGTACACATAGATAATGTAATGAGGTAGTTCTGCACAATGCCTGTTCATGTTGTATATTCGCATATCAGTTTTGCACCTCAGCTGTTCTAATTGTTTCCGCTCAGTAGCCCAATGAATTATTGAATTTTCTTCTGCCATTTTACTGCAGTACAGCACTCAGTAGACAATGGGGCAACAGAAGAATGGGGATTTTAGTTTTAATGGAACATAATTTGCATTATGTACAGACACACACACACAGATACGCAGACACTGCCACACACTCTGTATAGAAGCCTAAATATTAGCCTGCTCTTACATCAGCAGAAGAGGTTTGATTGACACAATGGTTGTAAGTGTTGAATGCTGTAAGCATTGAGTGCATCAGATCACTAATGGTCATGATTTGGTGTAAAACAACACTTTTAAACCGGTATAAGCGATGTACTTGGATGTGTTATTACAAAACTAACTATTTAATATTTAGTCACCTGGTAAAAACGTTGCTAATGGTATTAGCTGGATGACTGATTGCACTCTGTGCAGATGAACATAAAAGATAATAAATGAAACATGCAGATTTCATAAAAAAATCAACATACATATATAGCAATTAATGAAAGTTCACCTTTTACAACAAAACCTGTTGAAGCTGTTCTAAGCTGGTCAACACTTGGTAACACTTACAATAACTGCCCGCTATGAGTCATTAGTTAAGCATTAGTAAATAGTTAATTCATCATTTATAAAGCATTAGTATACATTAATAAGCAACTTATAAATCAAGGATAAAGCATTTATAGCTGTATTTATAAGCATATCTATAATGTGTTTAATAATTGTATTTTCATACTTTATTAAATGATCAATTTATCATTTCAAGTATTACATTATTTACAAACCAGTTATTTAGGAGTTGTCAGTGGTTCATAATATCATTTAGAAAGTGTAAGTAAATGATCAATAAACTATTTAAATGTACATTTATAGCCTACATCTTATTTAGACATATAGTAATAGCAGTGTGTTAATAAATGCTTTATTAACATGTATTCCTACTGTAATTCATGAGTAATTCAGGTGGTTATAAAGCATTTAGTAGTGGTCAGTTAACTATTTTGTGAGCTCATCTAAAGTGAGGACTATTTATGACCATAATAATCATTTTATAAAGGCTCAGTTATCTTCTAAACAGAAAAAGGAAACACAACACAGAGTGACACAGAACCGAAACTCATCCACGATCTGCACTGCGGTTCTCTAATGTTTGAAAGTTAGTACTGATGTAGTTTTGATACTGTGAAATATTTATTATATTATTATTGTTTTATAAAAAAAATATTTGTTGTATTTTGGCACTCCTGTATTCCAGTGTTGGCCCTGGCACATTTTTATTCAGCAATATTTACACGTTACAGAAATGTATTTTGATATCAGATTGCAGAGGCTTGGTTTCATTTTACTGCTTTTTGTTTTTTGGAGGTGTACAGGAATTTTTATTTTCTATGACGTAGAAGATGTTTATTTTTCATTTTATATCAAGTTACCAGTTGTGCTGTTTTTATTTTTAGCTTCGTTTATTTATTTATTTGCATCCTGAAATAAATATTTGTTCTGTATCACTCTGTGTAGTGTTTGTTTCCTTTTTCTCTTTAGAAGATAACTGAGGCTTTAAATCTCCTTTATAAAATCTTTACGAAGCATAAATAGTCCTCACTTTAGATGAGCTCACAAAAATAGTTAACTGACAACTGCTAAATGTTTTAAAACTAAAATTTCTAAATGATCTTATGAACCCCTGACAACTAGTTTGTAAATAATGTAGTACATAATTTAGAAATGATAAATTGATCAATTAATAGATCAGTATGTCTATTAATTCTTTATAAATGATTCATTAACTATTTACAAATGCTAAACCAATGATTCATAGCATGCAGTTATTATAAAGTGTTACCGGATATTCTGCATGACCATATTCTACATCCTTCCCATTGCCTAAATTTAACAACTACCTTACTAACTATTAATAAGCAGTAATTAGGAGTTTATTGGGTTTATAGAAAAGTCATAGAATAATTAGGTAATAGTGAGAATCTGACCCTAATCTAAAGTGTGACCCTTTTTTTTTTAGAAGTACTGTTCAGACCGGACTTTTTCTTCTGTATCCTGGATTTTGGATGAATACCACTCATACATCTTACTATGTGGATGTATAATGCTGTCCTCTACTTTTCCTTCACTCACTGAGATGGAACTGTGTCCTTTCCAGGCTTCCACTGTGAATGAGGCGGCTGTCTAGACGTTGCCCTGCCGCCCTTATGCTTTGAATAGTAATGACCTGTCAGACAGAACTCAAGAATAAAGAATTCATAGATTAAGCAGCAGAGCTAATCCAGACTCACACAAATCCATCTTCCTCAACGCTCTTTTACACCTCAGGTGTCAGGTCTTTTTGCCTCCCTCACAGGGGCTTTTTTATTTTACACATGCACACCACCATTAATAGTTGCACATTTATCAAGCTACAGACTCATTCTGCAAACTCAACAACGTTTTTTTTTTGGGGGGGTTATTCAAATGTCTGTCCTCTGCAGTGTTCGCAGTTCATTTATTCAGGGTATTTTTTTCCCCATTCTCACTCAATTTAAAAGACATTGCTTTATTCTGCTTTAAGATGTCTACTTTTTTGCCTTATTGGTCCATGATGGCCTAATTTGATACAGATTGTTTCAAAGTAGCTTTACAGCAATAAACAGGAAATGTATGATCAATGATGTAAACAGAATTCAATTCTGCTGTAATGCAGCTCTAGACAATAGTGTTTCAGCTGAAGTCAGTTCATTGTTGATTCAGTTCAGTTCAACAACTGTGTAAAGTACATTAATTATGAAATGAGTTCAATTCATCTATAAAGTAGCTCTGGGTAAAACGGTGATGTCATCATTCTGCTCAGACTCAGTTCTCATCCAATAGTGTCAGTGCAGTCAAATCAATAATATTACTGAACTTAGCCAAAGGCAAAGTGGCAAGGAAACCAAACAAAAAAAAATAACCCTTGGGAGAATCCAGGCTCATTCGTGGGGCCAGTTCTCCTCTGATCAAATGAACAAACATGATTATGATTCCAGGCTGCATCACAAGTCAGATTGTGAAGTGATGTCATTCAGAATATTTCATCCAGTTCCTTTTGGCTTGAAGATCGCGGGTACATAATGCCGGCATATGACTATACATAGGGGAACCATTTTACCAAGTTCTCGGGAAACATTCGTGACTCTCTAGTTAATCTCTATAATGCATCATTAAGTGGTTAAGCAGTGAGATACATCGTTGTACGGGAATCTAGAGCTATTGTGCCAAATTCAGCAGACAGGGAATCATCATTGTAATTATTTTTTTTACATGATTGTAATATCCCTCCAAATTCTTAACCACTGGTAAAACATCCACTATAAAATAATGAATTGTTTGCCGTTTAAATGTTGCTTGCAAAAATATAAGCAGAATACTACTTTAGAATGTCTGTCGATTGAGAAAGATATTCTTTGGAAACAGATGGTACAGTTACATCATCTAACAGCCGAGGCTAACAGGGTCGGACTAACAGCCACCATTGACACGCCACTGAAGAGTTCTTTAGCTTACTAATGTGTAAGAACTGTGCCATGCCTTGTTTACCCAAAAACTCATTCCTTTCTCGGTGGATCTGTTGGAGTTTGAATTAAAGGATTGTATTTTGATCTCCAGTCTAATTGCCTCTCTGATACGGTGTGCCAGCAGAATAAACACTGGTCATTACACATTCTTTTCCTTTGTTTTATTTTATTTTTCAAATGCTGTTCTGAACCTGATGTTCAATTAAAGTGGTGTGGCATGCTGAAATAATTTTATTATTGTTTATGTATAAATAAAAACTGTGGCACCAGAAAAATGTACTAAAATACTATTTAAAATCAGAAAATGTCAAGTCAAGTCATCTTTATTTATATAGTGCTTTTTACAATACAGAATGTTTCAAAACAGCTTTACAGTTATAATGCAACCAAGTTTGTTTCCAGAAGAAAATAGCATCACAGTCCAGCTTAAGTAAGTTCAGTGATGGTTCATTTTCGTTTTAAAAAGTTATTAATTTAGTGTAAGGATCCACTGGAGGCAAGTTGTAGGGAAAGAAACCAACTGCAGTTTATTCAAAATTAACATATAACAGGATCAAAACATAACATGAAACAAAACCGTACACTTACAGTAACAGTGGTCACAGAAAACAATACTTGACAAAGACACATGCCAAACATGAGGGCTTAAATACACAGACTAATGACAAGACAAGGGACACCTGTGAACAATGAACAGACGGTTAACCAATGACAAGACACATGGCAGGATCACATGACAAACAGGGAATCACATGACAGACATGGAACATGACATGAACAAACCAAAACGTGACAGAGACAAGACCAAAACGTGACATTTAGTTTAGATTTAATTTAGTTGTTTTATCATCAACATACACTATGCTATATAGGGGTGTCCAACCTGCACGTTGCTCTTTAAATGTACACAATGTTAAAAATACACTTCAACTGCATTGAAACGTACAGTCCTCTTGTGGACAGGTGCAGGGATGATCTGTTAAGGTTTTAAGTTCATCAGTTTTGGCTAGAGTCCGCCAAGCCACATTGACCTCTGTAGCATCCCTAGCAAGGTAGCGTCTGCTGCATGTCACCTGACCCAGATAAGAGATGCTAACTCCCGCTGCCTCTCCAACCTTCACATATTTTGAACACACACACTTGCACACTTGCACACAGACTTTCATAGTCCTTCAAGCTACATTACAACACCTGCCGCCTCCCTGGGGACTCCCCAACAGGACTGTTTGACCCCTTTTTCTCGTCTAACCACCCATCAAGGGACGAGCTCATTCACGTATTGTTGTTGTTTTCATCCGCAGGAGATGTTCACACCTGAGTGTAAATTCAAGGAGTCTGTGTTTGAGAACTACTACGTTATCTACTCATCCACCGTGTACCGCCAACAGGAGTCGGGGCGAGCCTGGTTCCTGGGCCTCACCAAGGAGGGTCAGGTCATGAAAGGGAATCGAGTAAAGAAAACCAAGCCCTCCTCACACTTTGTACCAAGACCCATTGAAGGTAGTGTTTTTGCAAAAGTGTGTTTCCAGCATCCAAAAACCCTGTCATGTAATTCAGTACCAAAAGAAATATTAAAACGTGACCAAATGCAAAATAATGCGATAAGATTTATTATATACCGTGTGTAGATTGTATAGAGAGGGACTAAGGGTACATCGCTATATTGACGAACTTGGAACTCCATTGGTTTCATATGCTTGCCTCATGCGTCAGATCAAGATGCATTTAATTCTTTGCATGCATTTGTAAAATAGAAATGATTTTCATATATATTTAAATTTACGTAACAGGCAGATAAAAGTACAGGTATGTACTGCAAAACACGGACAGTATATAATTTACAAACAACTCATGTTGCGTTCCAAGTCTTCTGAAGCCATACTATATCTTTATGTGAGGAACAGAGTAAAAACCAGACAAATTGTATGTCACGAGACACACGAGAGGCAATGGCATTTCACAATTAAAGCTGATGAATATGCTGTGTTTCGAGTGTTATAGCGGATTAAGATGTTTACTTGTTCAATCTTGAACGATGACTGAAACTTTGTATTACTGGCACTTCTCGTGTTTATAGCCTTCTTAAGAACAATTGCTTGTTGTATTCCTCAACAAAGTCACTTTGGATAACAGCATGAATGAATAAATGAATAAATGTAAATCTAAATTATCATTTTTGGCTCTGTTCCTCTCACATCTTTTTTTTTTTTGTAATTTGTCTGTATTGATGACTGAGGTTTCTCATTGAAAGTAATCCCTAATGCAAAATAAACATACCAAAATATATTTGAAATACATTTATTTCATGCTAAGTATACTACAAATACATTAACATATTTATGTACTTAATATAAATACCCTGCAATTGTACTTTTGGTATACTGCATTTAAAGTCTGCTAAATTGGAACAACTAATTTTGCTAATTAAATAACTAAATTAGTTATCTGGAAATAGTGCTGAGGTTCAACTAAAGCTATACTTAAGTATATTTGATTGTGCTAAAATGGAATTATTGAAAGTATACTTTAGGTACACTTTAAATGTCTTGCATTTAAAGACTGATATTATATAGAGATCAAACTATCCTTACTAATAGTGACATTAAAACACATTTAAGGCCTAGTAATTAAGAAATGTGCATTGTGCTATAAAAAATACTCCAAATAAAGTTTAATTATAATGTTTATATTAGTAGAAAGCTTAATGTCAAGTAAATATGTTAATGTTTTTTTGCACTAAGTATGAAATAAATGCATTTTAAATACATGTTGGTATAGTGTGGTATAGTGTATTTGTGCCAGCAGCCATATCACCCTGTAGCCCAAGACTGGTTGCCCACTGAAGCTAAGCAGGGCTGAGCCTGGTTAGTACCTGGATGGGAGACCTCCTGAGAAAACCAGGTTGCTGCTGGAAGAGGTGTTAGTGAGGCCAGCAGGGGGAGCTCATCCTGTGGTCTATGTGGGTCCTAACGCCCCAGTATAGTGACGGGGACACTATACTATCTAAGAGCACCGTCCTTCGGATGAGATGTTAAACCGAGGTCCTGACTCTCTGTGGTCATTAAAAATCCCAGGATGTCTTTCGAAAGATTAGGGGTGTAACCCCGGCATCCTGGCCAAATTTGCCCAGTGGCCTCTGTCCATCATGGCCTCCTAATCATCCCTATATATATATACACACTGATTGGCTTCATCACTCTGTCTCCTCTCCACTCTGTCTCCCCTCCACCTGTGTGTGGTGGGCGTTCTGGCGCAATATGGCTGCCGTCGCATCATCCAAGTGGATGCTGCACATTGGTGGTGGTTGAGGAGATTCCATGTAAAGCGCTTTGAGTGCCTAGAAAAGCGCTATATAAATGTAATGAATTATTATTAGTGTTTTTTCACTAGGAAAGTTGGAGTGGAAAATAGAGTTCTAAGTTCGTCAATATGGCCATGCCTATATAGATGAACCTTTAGCATAATAATAATAGTGATGCTTCAGTTTTTGACACTTTGGCAGTAAGTACAGGTTATGTATTTGTGAAAAGTAGGTGTTACACACCAGAATGGGTCCAGATGGTTTGAGACAAGGGGCAAAAAACTAAGAGGGCTAGAAAAATGCCAGAAAGAAAAATTGTTACGCAACAAGACAAACCATCTTTGGAATTACATGCACTGATGAATCGCACACAGCAATACCAACAGCATATATAAAGCAAGCAAATATGTTCAGCTTTGATTTCATGTTCACTTTAACCTTTAACATTCATGCATTTTTTAAATAAAAATCAAAAATGTACAATGCAAAGCTAAAAAGTATGTCAATCATAAGTCTCATTACTCATAATGATCGCAGTCAAAAGTAATGGGTATTAATCTCTTGATGTGTTTGCAGTTTGCATGTATAGAGAGCCTTCACTGCATGAGATTGAAGAGAAGCAACGCTCCAGGAAAAGCTCAGGAACCCCAACGATGAACGGAGGCAAAGCGGTCAACCAGGACTCCACATAGCAGGGCTTAAACACAGGAGGCAGAGCAGCCCCTCGCCCTCGCCCTCGCCTCCAACCACGGGAATCTGCAACCAGAAGACCAACTGAACTCTTGCCTGAGAAAATTTCCAGAAGAACACAGAGGGGGAAAAAAAGAGAAATAAATGTTACCGTTCCAATCAGGAGTTGAACTCACATTTTATGCAAAAAAAGAAAAAGAAAAAAGTGGGCAGTCATTTGGTTCACAACAATAGTAATATTTTTTGTTTGGGGTTTATGCTGTGAGAAATGAGCTTTAAAACGTTCTCATGTGTTTCGTTTTCATGTGAATGCTCTTCATGCTTTACTTTCATCAAGAAAAATGGGAACTTTTCTCTCTTTGCTCAATGCTCATTGCTATTGATTCTGTTTGTGGATATTATGCAGGTTTGAGCAAGTTTTTCTACTTTCTTTTATTTCTTTTTTCTTTTTCTTTTTTAATTACCCGAGAGGCGAATGCACTTTGTGACTCCAGATTGCTGGAATGTCAGGAGGGTGAATGTAGAATGTATGCTCAGTTACTTTGGGGATGGTCTTGGATCGTTTCGTTGCCTGTTCATTTTGGTAAGAGATAATATCCATGCAACACTTTCTTCAAAAATCTTGCCCGCCTTGGCGCACATACGTCCAGCACAGGTACACTGGTATGTGTGTATGTTTGTGTGTGCGTGACACTGCTCAGCTGGAGTGTGACGCTCTTTATTACGACGGACGGCTAAGCTTTAGATGGAAAGTAGGCGATTTCCCGTGAATTATTCTCAAATTTCCTTGCACCCAAGCACCCAACTTAAGTATTATATTTAGCTCAAAGTATGACAAGCAACTCAGGAAGCTCTAGTCTTAGAAGTGTGACCCTGACACCAGCCCTGTCCAGTCAAAAAAAAGCACAAAGAAGGCCAGTTTATTGCCCCTTTACGGGTTTGGAGGTCGGCCTGGACAGGGCGGGTGGATTGTGGACTATAGGAGGAGCCTGGCATTCATAAGTCTTCCAGTATAAATGGCATGAGAGCTGTGCCCAAGTATGCAGCAACAAAACGCAGAGACTTAAACGCATGAGTCCTCAGAAAAGTGTGTTTATAGTTAAATGAGAAATTGTCAAATGAATAACATGTATGTGACAAAGAGTGTAAAAAACAGACACCCAGTGCAAAGATTGTGCTGATCAAATGAGTTTCCAGACAAGAAAACACTGTAATGGGAGTGTGTCCTTTTCGCTGTGTACAAACAGAACTCTTTATTTTTCATGTTTGCAGATGTTTTCACCTAAATGAAACACTATCATATATGCATTATGAATAATGAGATGTATAAAATATGCATTGATATTATAAAGCAGAATGAAATTAGGATTGTTTAAGAATAAAAGTATGATATTTAAAGCTTTCACCCCTGTGTCACTGCATAGCTTATTTTCCAAGGATTCTCTTGAGCGGTGCATTACAGTAAGTGCATTTAATGTAGCGGAGAGGCAGAATAAACGCATTTACACAGGTATAATAATGTTATGATGAAGCTATAATAAATGTTTTGAACATTTCAATTCTGATTGACACTTCCCACAAACGGTACAAAATTTGCCTGAAATTATTCTTCATGGTCAGTAAAATGGACATGATTAACTTCAAAATTTGCCTGTCAAATTAAATAGTGTACAGGCTTTTTATTTTATAAAAAGAGGTTTGTATGGAAGTTTGTTTCCGCCACAGAATGAAAAATAAAAAAGGTATGACTTTTTATCTCACAATTCTGATTCTTTTTTTCTCTCACAATTGCGAGTTCATCTCGCAATTCTGACTTTTTAATAAAGTTATAAAGTAAGAATTGCGTGATTTAAAGTCGCAATTGCGTGTTATAAAGTAAGAATTGCGTGATTTAAAGTCGCAATTGCGTGTTTATAAAGTCAGAATTCTTCAATATAAACTCAATTGCAAGAAATAAACTCGCAAAAACTTTATATCTTGCAATTCTGACTTTATATCACGCAATTCTGACTTTATAACACGCAAATCTGACTTTATATCACGCAGTTGCGAGTTTATATCTTGCAATTGTGAGATAAAAAGTCTCAATTATCTTTTAAAATGTTTTATTCTGAGGCGGAAACATAGGTTTGCCATAAAAACTTGAGAAATAAACCCTCATTTGTGTGATATGGTATTTTCCAGCAATAAACATAAACATTTCTGCCTATAATGTATTTGGGGCTATAGCAGGTTTGAGACCAAATGTTGATTTTTGCTCAGAAGCTTATTTTTCTTTTGATCTTTTTCCCCCCCTTACAGCAACTTGGGTAACAGGATTGAATGGTTGATTTACAACTTATTAATACAATTTGTTTATAGACTTGTCAGCCCAGCATTCTATGTCTGGTTCATTCGATAAATAATAGATATCAACTAAATCCATTTGATTTGTGCCTTTAATACTAAGAAGTAATGGGACACAATTTGTAAAAGATAGATATATGAAATGATGGATGAAAAATATGACATTAAAAAATAAAAAATTTAAATGCTAAAAGTTATCTCTGTTGACAATAACAAATGACTGCGGTGAGTCAGAGATACGTGCATAAATAATTTAGTACGGCTTTTAATGTGGCGCTGCATCTCTACACAGAATTTGAAGTTGGCACAGAGTCTCCTCAGAGCAATCTTAACTCCTTGTTACAAAATTCAAAGGACTGATAATGATTTATCTGATTTACAGGCAAGTATGGGTAATCATATCAGCCTAAAGTTAAAACACTCAGGCAGAAATCCAATTTATCATTTTAGGATTGCACTTCTCTGGCCTTAATTCTACTCGTTGTCATGGAAACAGACTTCCCCTACTGTCTGTAAGGAGAACGAAGAGGAGGAGATGGAGGGGGAGGAGGGCTGCAGAGGATTTACTCTTTTCTCTCTCTGGAGAACAGATTGAGATTGTGTTTGAGATTGTTTCTCTCTTAGTCGTTTTAAAGTCACATACATGGTAACATAGCAGTGATGTACAATTACAGGTCTGAGGAGCATGATGTGTTTGTGTGTGTGTGTGTGTGTGTGTGTGTGTGTGTGTGGCTGTGTGTTCTTACATACCACTACAACTATATTTCGTGGACAGATTTGTACCCAGAAGTGACCACAACCTGTCAAAATCTTTAATAAAAAAACTCCCTTTAGGGATGTCCTCATTTGTAAATCCTGTATAAAAATAAAGTAATTATAGGATTTTTAAAAATGAAAAAATGCAGAAAGTTTTGTGTGTTGGGTAGGTTTAATGGTCAGTGTTAGGGGAGAGAATATACAGTTTGTACAGTATAAAAACCATTATGGCTATGGAATGTCCCCATTTAGATATAAGTAAAGTTTGTGTGTGTGAGCGTGCGTGCGTGTTGTGTGTTGTTGTTGTTGTTGTTGTTGTGTGAAAGATACTGAGAGGAAATCATTACCGGTAGACAGCTAGAAGAAGAACCTTAATTAGGCTTTGAGAATTAAATTCCATTATCAAGGACATTTATAAAATTGATAATTACCAAACACCAACTTTAATGAAAAAGACATTTCATGTGATTTGTCTCTCTCTTTTAAAAAAAAAATGTAGACATGTAAACAACTCACAGAATTCTGTAAACAGTCTTTGACATTTTATATCCATAATACCTGTGAGTAACGTAACAGCAAAGCCACGCTGAGCCAAGTTGAACTGGTTCTGTCAGTGCCAGTAACATATAGGATCCTGTGTACCCTAAAGCCAATGACTCGTGTGAAAAACGGCCTGCCTGTAAATCCCCTCCTTTCTTGAGGAATATTGATTTGATTAAATCTACCGCAGCTGTAAACATTCACTCTGCTATTCTATTCTGTCATTCTCGCATTGATCCGCCATCTTTCTGGGTTTTATTTTAGCGCTCATCTTAACTGATTCTGATGTTTGGTTGGAGATTTTAATCTTAAGGGATTGATTGATTTTGGGGCAATTAATGGGGCAGGACGGCCCTTGCAGACCTAGAACATCAAGTTCTTCATTAAGAAATAATTAGTCGTCTTTCAATGAACATGATTTGTCTCTTAGATCTTCAATCCAACAGAGCTTCAAAGATTTGATTATGTTGGATTATGTTTTTTTCAGTGATAAAGCCATAATAATGAGCTGCTGGCTGAATTCATTAGAAATAACATGATGAAAAACATGACATTATTTTTCATGAAATTGTTTTAGCTTTTTAAAATAGCTGTTGTATTACGGAGAACTGTGACGTTTTATCTGTTTCAAACAAACACAAACAGCTATACAAACAAATGTAAACTCTCAGGCCAAATTCCCTTTCTTTATATTTGATAACAGTCATACTGACAGCATTAGAAGTGCAAATCTGCTGCAATTCAGCTGTGTTGTTAAATACTATTAAAAAGAATAATTTCTTAATTTATTCAACAAACTAGCATTAATTTGAACCCTTTCCACATTTTAACAGTGGAAAGATCATGTGGGCATCGGTACACAACCCCAACGGAAAAAATATATATATTTACACATATATATATATATATATATGATCAATATATTACATGGTGTAAATATACTGAAAAATATATTAAATATATTGCATTAATATATTTTGTTATATATTACAATATATTGAATAATAAGGAATTGCCGCTTTTCATATATTGAAAAATATATTTACAATATACTGTATTTACACTGTAAAAGATCATTAGATGAGTGTACTTCAAAAACATGTGGAAAAGGAGGATTAACTCAAAGTTATAAGCTGCTAAACAAAGACATACGGGTGTTGGGACAATGACAGACTGTGCATTTATTTGTATTTATTAACCTGCAAATACATTGTGCATGTCAAACTTAACTGAATAAATTGAATGATTTTTTTTTTTTTTTTTTTTTTACAATGTGCACATAAGCCAAAAATACATTTTCTGGCTTTTCTCAGTCTAGAAAGCTCCAAATTCAAAAATTATTTCACATTTCTTCTACATAAATGACCCATTTTAAATACACATTCATCTTTCCAGAGGTGAAGTATCCCTTAAATTAAAATTAATAGAGGTTCAAACCAATCAAACCAGGCTTTGTTACCATGATGATCATCAACTTTCTCTGTCAACTCAGGCTTTGATCCTGAGTTTAGGAGTTTAGGTGTGACATCAGCAGCTAACAACCAATCACATGCTAAGAAAGAGTGAAACTGAGATTAATTTCATAGGAGAGAAGCACCGCGATTCACTACAGAATATTACGAGATTAAAAAATATAAATAATATAAACAAATTTACACTGCAAGAAGAAAATAGCTGTCTATGAAAGAGGACAACTAAAATAAAAAGTCTTGCTATATCAGTGCAAGTAAAAGTTCTGAAGTTAGTTTATACACTTTATAAAGGTCGAGAAAATTGAACATTTAAGCTCATGTAGTCATTTTACAGCTTTATCTATTGATTCTAAAGCGTATTTATATTACCTTTATATATTTATTCAATTAATAATTGATAAACTAAAATTGTAC